GTCAAATCCGCGAGGAAATCCACCCAACCGTTTTCGACATAACGGCGTCTTACTAAACCGCGATTTTCCGCGAAAGTATATGAAATATCGAAAAAATAAAATATGCCACTCATTGAGAACACATCAGACTACCACCTGTTCAAAATTAAAATTTTTTCGTACGATAGTTTTCGAGAAAAAAAATCGCAAAGTTGATAAAGTTGCCAATTCCGTAAAAAATCGGGTACATTTTTCATTTAACTCGCGGTAACAAGAAAACCGTGGATCCGAAAATTTTCAGATTAACATAAGTTACGTAGAAATGTTCAGTGATTACAACAAATTTTGTTGCAATTTTTTTTATGGAGCGGTTGCGAAGATATCGATCTCTAAAGTGAGGGGCCTTGACTTTTTGCACAGATAGTAGTGTTATCTTTAGTGCTGGAACTAAAACTGGAACTAACACTCGATTTAGAACAAGAGACATTCGGGTTTAGCCGTGTGTCTTCAGGGTCTTCAAAATCTTCCTTCAGAGACTTTTAGCTATAATTAACTCTCTTCCTCGTATTAATTCTTTATATCGAGGTTTTACTGTATTGCCTAGATTTGAGCCTTGAGGAACACCACAACTAGCCGTAAACTCCATAGACGCATAACCGTTGTAGTACACATAATTTATGCGACCCGATAGGTAAGAGGCAAATAGTTTCATAAACTTAGGAGATAAGCCAAAAGCACTAAGTTTATACAAGAGGACGTCATGATGAATGACTACCTGATCGCCCCTATCCAAAGATTCACAAATTACCTCAGTAACCACCGCGAGGTTGGTAATGGTCGAACGACGCTTGATAAACCCATGCTGATATGATGACACAAATGACTGAACCTGTGGATAAATCATCTTGTAAATAATCTGTTCAAATACCTTAGCGAAATTGGACAATAACGATATTGGTCGATAATCAGTAATGTTGGTACGTTCGCCATGCTTGATTACAGGAACAATGCGTGAGCGCGTCCAAAGTTTAGGAAACGAGCAAGTGCTTAAGGATAGGTTAATTGAGGAGCTCGCGTGCAAAACCGGATATATCCATTTTTAGAAATTTTTCAGCAGATGAAAAAAACACCTCACGCATTATTTTAAAAATAAAGTACTGCTTCGAAAATACAATTTTACGTTAATAAGCTTAGCCAACTGACTACTGCATATCTTTTTGTTAAAAAGGTAATCAGTTCGGTGCTATTGGCAAAAAAACATTGGATATATCCGGTTTTGCACAAAAATGAGACATTTTTACAAAAGAAATGTTTTATTTTTCTCAAAATGAACAAAAACAAGTTAAAAGTAAAGTACTAACTAAATTAACAAAACAAATTAAATATGTACTGCAGTTTCTTCATGAAGACAGTCGCATAGCTCTGTATCATCATCTTGGATGTCATTGTTTTCTAAAGTATCTTTCTCGCCTCCTCTGGTACTGACTAACAAATTTTTGTACCACAAAAGGTCTTCCCGGTCTTGCCATTCCTCTCCAAAATGTTCTTTTATCAAATGAATCAAACTTTTCTTCTTTTTATCTGGTATGCAATTACGTAATGGCAACCTACTAAGCTGTAGGTTTGTTTCGGATTTTCCTTTTTTGATAAGCGATTGCCAAGTTGTGGTAGGCGACCTAAACCGGTAATATTCAAACGTCGCTACCTTAACAGTAGTTTTGTTATCTCTATCTGTAAATTTTTGCAATTTGTTTATTTTGCAGTCAGAAATTCCTTTAACTTTTTTGTACACGTTTTCTAGGTTTTTGATATTATACAATTGCCAGTCAGAACCAAGTGCCTTTACCGAACCGACTTCTGCATAAAATTCCATGTATTTCTCTTTCGATATTATGACAGGATTTCTTTTCAAAATTTTTTCCACCCTACCAAATGATCTGTCTGCAGGCAGGTAACTATGCCCTCGGACAGGAAATGTTATTTCTATTGCTGTCACATTATCTGGAGACTTGGTTTTAAGCCAATACATTAGTGTGTGAATGATGTGCGAATTCTTATTCTGCCCACCACATCCGTCACAGAATAATCTGACAAGATTTACTCCTTCATAATTTAAACTTTGAAGATGATGCAACAACGCCGAACCGATTTAAGTAGCTCCCCTGCTAGCTAAATCTTCGGTCCATACATAAAACGTTGGATATCGAGAAGTCATAGGTACGCAGCAAAAAGCATACAAACTAACTTGATGAGAATAAAATGCATCTCCGATTGGTGTACGGGGTAGCGGCTGGACCTGCTGAAGGTCAAAACAAAAGGTTAGACTACTATCAGGTTCTTCGTTGGTGAGTTCATAGAAAGTGTTTGCTCTTTTTTTATGAATCCGGTACTCCATAATAAGGGTTTGTCTATTCTTCAGGTCTTTTGTGTGTTTTATTTGCTCCTTCAATCTCGTGCACTTGGAGCACACATCAGATGCAGGGGATGAGAAACCGATATTAAAATCATTTAAAAAGACGTTTCTGAACATATCATAGCTGACTCTATTTTCTGAATCACATCTTCTGTTATACATTTTATGCAATTTTGCCATTGAAAGGTTTGCGGAAAGGTCTAAACGTTTGGACTTTTTTCTATTATAGTGGCTTTCTTTACCTCGCAAGTTGCCGATAAATTGTCGTACTTTTTCTTTTTGTGGTAGAGATTTCTGAGATACTCTATCACCTCCTCGTTTCTCCTTTGGCACACCTCCTTCCTCCAAAACCTTTACAACTGTTTGAAGTCTGTTACGCCGAAAACAGCTGAGAAAAATTGTTTGCAAACCCTAACAGTTTTTTCATTAGACTTTAACATGTAAGCAACCGTTGCGTCTCTATGTCTCATTTCTTTATTCTGTCTGCGTCGTTTAACTGGCATAACAGACATGTAATGACACAGATATGTATCTTGGTGGACTTTGTCCACATGACTATAAAATTGTGTTCTTAAATTTTGAATATCCTTCATGCTTACCTTACAGCACTCGTATGTTTTACCATCATGATGGCAAAAACTGCACAGCAATCACGAATGAAAAATGCAGGAAGATCATCATCACCAGCAGTAAATTTATTAGGCAACCTTTTTAGGAAATGAAGAACCTCTTCTTCGGTGACATCGGCAACAAATACTGGAGGATACGTAGAGTGTACATCAACCATGTTATAAGCAGAGACACCAGAATATACTCCAGAGAATTGATCTGCAAAAGCATTAACTATTTTTTCAGGATCAGTGTAGGTGGACATATTTATCCTCTAATTAAGTTAATACGGCAAATGCGACCGCAGTAACCTCGGCTAAATTAGGCCACCGCGAAGTAAACACGTTTTATACACTTCTATGAGATGTTTGCAAATGAGTTTTTCATCGTTTATCATAAGTCTGTTGGTTGACATAACAGCTACGATAAATACAGTTTATTTTGAAGTGACGTTTCTGTGTTGATCTTAGTAACAAATTGATCAAAATTTTAAATTGTATTTTAATTTCTAATAATAATTTTTTGTTTCAGTGGTTATGACAATTCAATTAATATCCTGACACCACGACCACAATCATCAGATGGAAACGATGAAATACCCGAACGTACCAGGGGGAAATAACATGGCGGTCAGCGGAAACGGTGGTTCTCACGTAGAGGACGTTGAAACGGTCTTCTCGTCTTCGTGCTGGTCGAATTCGAGTACAAACCTTCACAATGAATTCATCGATCAAAAACTGATGTCGTTGGAGTCTCCGATAAGTAATTTGAGTGCTGCGGATAAGATGCTTGAAGCGTCAATAACCGAAAGCGAATCGGACGCGTTGGACAGTTTCTTAATGAATACTCAACCGATTAATAGTAGTTTGGCTGAATTGAAACCGTTACCTCCGTTTGCTGGTTACACGGCGAATTTAAGTATAAACGGTATACAGGGTCATCATTATCACGCGTTAGCTCAACGGATAACCGAAGAAAATAATAATTCTTATAATAATTTTAACGAGCAAAATATCGTTTCTAGTTCGACGTGTAACGTTTCGAATGATAACGATTGCGATACTAAAGAGGTTTTGTTCGCGGAGAACGAGTTCGAGGTGAAATTGTCTTACGATATGGTGGACTCGGTTGTGACGAGCGGTAAAGTTTATGACGAGTGCGGACAACAACAGAATAGTGCAGTGGATTCGGTGACGCATATAAAAACAGAAGTGGCGCATTATGATGTTTCGGCGATTGATGATATAGCCGCGATTATTTCTTCCGCGATTTCAGCTGACACTTCAGCAGCCCAACAACAACAACAGCAACAAAATAACAACGCGACCTCGCATTGTGGCGAATCAGAACATAATCCAACATCACGGGATAGTTGGATGGATTTGGATTCGTGGATTAATAGAGCTTGCGTTGATGAACAAAAAAATTTAATAGTCACTCAAGAAGGTTTATCGGAATTTGTTGTTCCAACAACGACAAATCAAACATCGGAAGAATTTAAAAGTCCGAACAGTTTAGCAACTCCCACTTTACAAAATTTATTATCGTACATGCCTTTACTACAGAATCGATTACAAAATGGCCCACCACCGAAACAAGAACTTCCTAGTTCGACAAATTACACGGGCGACATCATTTCAACGTCTTCACCTCCCGCAAACGTTGTATCCACAACCGAAAATTTATTATTAACCGTAAACGGAAGATTCGTTCCTAATTACGGGATACAACATTTAAACGCCGCTCAAGATGATCGGATGCAAAGTCCGGATATGTTACAGAATTATCCTCACACGACGACGACAACCACAACAGTTACGCCGAAAAAATCTCGGAATCGAACGCAAAAGAAGCAAACAAATAATAGTGCTAGCGTTTACCCATCGGAACAAAACTTAGGATTACTCGGTAAAGAGAAACCTGTTCATCGATGTACAATATGCAATCGGGGATTTTTAAATAAATCGAACATTAAGGTACACCTTAGAACGCATACGGGGGAAAAACCGTTTAGATGTGACACCTGCGCGAAAGCTTTCCGTCAAAAAGCACATCTACTTAAACATCAACAGATTCATAAACGCATAGGGAGAGACTGATATAGTTACAACTATGTTTTTACAATTTTAGTTGAAACTGTATTGGTTTGTTTTATGTTATCAATACAATAATTATACGATAATAATATTGCAATTAAAACTGATTTGGCCATGATTATTGGAATTCTAATATATCAGTAAAATATTAGTTGATTTCACCTCCAAAATTAATTTGTTTGAAAGTAGGAGCAACTAAATCAACTCCTAAGTTTCTATTATATCAAATGAGCAAATTAGCGTCATAAAGTAGATTTGCCAATGAATAAGCTAGCTCAATTTATTTAAAACTTTGAATCTACTTTCCCCTGGAAATCCCTAGAATGAGGAGTTTTAAGGCAAATGTTAACACACTGTAGAGAAATTTCTTTTTGACATAATTATGGTAAATATTCTAACCTCTAAAGATGTTAAAACGTCAAATAGATGACACGTGACGTTTTAAAGATTATATTATTTTTTAATAAAAGTCAACACCACAGTTATAAAATTAATTCTATCAAACATATTTGAATTTGATATAATTCACTTTTAAATAATGATATGAATCATAAAACACGTTTGTTATCTTTGTATTCGGTCTGATAGATGGAGTTACGTGATCTTGTCTCGTTTGACATATTTATTAATATGATATTGGCAACAAATCACAAAGGTCTTTTTTTAATTAATTTTTAAATGTGAGGATTAAACATAATAATTTTTAATCCCTGATAATCTGATTAAATAAGAATAAATTTGTTACAATTAGCAACAGTTAATTTTGTGAATGTTAATAGACTTTACACTATAAGGGTTTATAATATCAGTTTATAAGTTTATGATGGAATTCTTTTTGAATAACACAATGACAATTGATTTTTAATCAAATTCGGTGTCATTGATTTATTATAAAAAGAACAAAGTAAATATGTAAAGTTTAAGTTTAAATTTGAAAGAAATGAATGGACAAGTTATTTGAGTTGCCTATGTTTTCGGTGATAACATGAAAATTTATTATTTTTAGTAAAAAATCGGAAGTATACCGTGTAAATGAGTCATTTTAATTCTTCATTTACATTTATAAACTGAAAATTATTATAAACACCTCAATTCACTAAATTATTAATTTGTTTCGAAAATTAATCTCTGCCTTGTTTTTATCCCAACTTTCCAAGGTCATCTTTTTGACTGACCATGTAATAAATTAACTGTGGTTTTACTCTCAAAAATATCATGTTACAACAAAGATATACACCCTGTATATCTTAAAGTTAGTTATAATAAGATAAAATAAAGAAAAAGATTTTTTTATAGTAATTATTAATTAATGAAGAATACTTATGTATACAAGAGCCGCAATATGTTAGAAAGGTGATAAATCTGAATGTTGAATCAATTTTTTAAGGTTTTTGAGGCATTTAATAAAAAAAACAGTTTAATTTGTTAAATTCAAATGATAATCGTGTGACAGTTATAATGACAAGCACAATGTTGCCAACATATAAAAATCAATTTGTTTAAAATTTATAGTTTTGAGTTTTTTATTGAAACTTCCAATAATCATGGCAAACATTTTTATTTAAGGAGGAACGTGTTTTTTTAAGAGTTTTGGTCAAAAAGTATTATTTGATTACTAAAAAGAAAGAAAACCTCCGTCACCAAAACCCAATGAAAATTCTTTTCATTCAATTAAGTTCCTAAATCTTAGAATGAATGGTAAATTATCGTTAATTCGTTGTATTGTTTGATAACAAAACTGAAATACCAATTAAAAATAAACTATAAAGTTTATTTGATTGAGTAATTCTCATCCCAAACGTGCTATAAGAAAGGTACCTCAAAAAAATTAACTAATGCATTTAAAATATGCGATTTATTTAAAAAAGTAAATATATGAGAAAGAGAGATGATCGAGTATTCCTAATTTTGTGGACAAAGTGCAATGACCGGTATCGTGCAGGTGCATTCTTTCACATTTTGATCTATTTTTTTTTTAATTCTATTAATATTCCCTTCGTTTTTGTTATTTATATTTATACGTCCTTTTTTCCTACTTGAATAAGAAAAATTATCGAAAATTAATTGATGCTTTTTTACTTAAAATGAGTTTTTACCTCTCAGGTATAATTATATTTCAAGCTTAAACAGTATGTTCAATAAAAATCATTTTTGACAAGTTAAAATTGATATTTGACAATTAAAAATAACCTAAAATAGTATTTTAAATGTCAAAATTTTTTCTATCTTATTGAGCATACTTTACATAAATATATTATAATGATTTCTTGTGATAGTTTTTTGTGCATTGTACTTAATATTTAAGTATTGTAATTGTAATTTTCTACAAGAAAAGTTCTATAGAAATTTCGTAAAGAATTTCTGAAACAGTCACTAAAAGTATAATAATTTTTTTTATATAATTATAAATAAAGAAACGTCCCCGTCCAATAAATTGTACAAATTTCGCCACATCGAACATTGTAAACATTTTTTTTGTATATTTTTGTATAGATCTAATTAAATTATTGATTTTAGTTTTAAATCTTGTGTGTAACTAGTAATCTTGTTTTTTTTTTGTAATAATCTTTTTTTCTCTTTGTAAATTATAGAGATCTCAAGTCTTTTTGAAAGATTTTCTCGCAATCGATTCCGTCTTGAAAAAAAAATATTTTTTATTAATTATTTTCTTATATAACATCGATTCTTTTATTTGTACTTATTACACAACTTGCCAAGATTTTTCGTTTTTATTATTATGAATCATATTTTGTTTTTTCGTAATGTACAAAAAAGATCGTGTGTGATACTATTTTTATTTACTGAAGAAAAAAATAAAATAATCTCCTAAAAAAAAATTAACTTTCTTTTTGAAATTCGCACACTTCAAGAAATAAATCCAAGAAGCATCCAAAAAATCCTTTCAAAATCAAAATTTATTGAAATTATTATTATATATATTTTTTTTTAATTTTTCGAAATGAGATTGTATTTTTTTTTCATCGCTAGCTAACCTATTGTATTTAATTATTTTGTTATTCGTTATTGTTGATTATTGTCATATCGTAAATCGTAAATATTTTGTAATATAGAAACCATTACTTTTTAAAGAAATCTTTGTAAAACATTGAATTGTTTCATTTTTCCCCCTTACATTCAATAAAGGTAAGTTTCTTTATTTTATTCACAAAAATTTGTTATCTAAGAGGTCGTTGTATATTCAAATAAGTAACTAGTAATGCCTAGTTTGGAATGTCTTTGTATGCTAATTTCGAAGCACAAATCAAAACTGCTCACCCTGTAGGTATGCACAAGATATTTTACAATTACAAATTACAAAATAAAACACCCTAAATAAGATTAAATTCAACTGATTTAGTAAACTTATTCTTATTTACTCATGATTAATTAAAACGAGATCTCATTTATCACTTTCAAAGTAGGTTTTCATTGGCAACACATCGACTAGACTCTTAATTAATTATTATTATATTTTTCAACGTCAAGTTTCGTTAAGTGCTAACACTTAAATTGGCTCCTTAATTAATTTAACCTTAATTTAATTAAAAATTGTTAATTTGAGTCAAATCAATTTGGGTAAAAAACCGTTTCATTCAACTTAACCTTTTTAAATTTTTTAATACCTAATTCTTTTAACATAATTTCTTGTTAGTGTCCCAATTTGTGGTTTCCCTCCATCTTGTAGGAAGCGTGTCCGCATAGTTACCAAGCAAAATCGTCGTCGTCGACTTCTTTTCCTTCCCCGCGTTCCTCGTCGACTCGATGGTCTCGGAAGTGTGCCAACGTGCCACTTCTTGCGCCGACGTGCATTTGAATACCGGTGGCGTGCGACCCACTGCTGGTCGTCGTCGTTGGTCCATTTGCTATCTACGTTCTCGAGGCGAAAACCGCTCCTCTTCTTCTTCTTGTTCTTCTTCAAACCAAAACCAACAATAATAACGAGAAGAAGGAGGTGAACCTCCTTCTTCGAAATAAGGAAAAGAAAGGTGAATAGTGGTGGGAGAACGAAAAGATTAAAGAAGGATATGATCATCTCGGCATCTTGACACGATGTCGAAGAATTGTGCAATTACTTTCCTCTGCTAGTAACTACTTTAATAGGTATTTGAATTGCGCAAGATTTAAGATCGTTTTGATTTAAAATAAAGAAAGAATTAAACGAGGAGAGCCTTTATGTTTATCATTTAAATATTACAACAAAAGAGAACTAAAGAGAACTAAAAGGATACTAAGACAGAAGAAAAGAAGTGGAGAAAGATTTCAAAAGAGGATATAAACTAAGGAACTGCTTTAGCAAATCCAGATATGGAGAGTGGCTAACAGAAAAATAGGAGATCATGAATCGATGGATACAATTCTTCCAAAAACTCCAAAAAAACCATAATACATCTAGGGCTCAGGCTCAATACGTGTTAAACTTAGAAGCACACGAAGATGAACCAAATATCGATCCGCCATCAATTGCGGACACGCACTCAAAAAATGAAAAAACAAATAAATCGCTTGGCATAAACAATAAGTTGCCAGGCTATTAAAATATGGAAAAGAACAATTTACAACCACCCTACATACACTGATATTGATTATAGGGGAATAACGTTGCTTAGCACAGCATATAGTCAACAACTAATTGAAAAGTTCTGGGAGTTTGAGACTGCTAGCATATGAGGCTGGTCAAATACACAATGTTATACAGCACATGCAACTCGAATTATATATTCAAATTAGAAGGGCCACTCTCAAACGAGTTCAAACTGTCTACAAGACAGAAACAAAGTGACAGATTAGCGCTCATACTCTTCAAGATATGCAGATGACCTTAACATTCTTGGCACATCATTGCACACGGTCAATGGCACCTTTGAAAAAGTCGAAACTGCTGAACGAGAGGTTAGGTTAAGAATAAAGGAAGACAAAATTAAACTCCTGATTTAGAGTGAAAGACGGAGAGAGATATCGTATCGAGCAGTGTTACAATTGAAGACATCAACTAATAAAAAAGAGAACGTCAAAAATTTAAAACTTACATGACATAGTGATAGGGCAACGTTAGTGATAATCAATATTGGAAAGTTATCTGTTAGGGTTCCTTGTATCAGATTAATTGGAATAGCCATGTTGAATAGTTATGAGGCATCAGCCAAATCAACCTGATGAAATTGGTGTTCTTCAATGTTTAGGGCTTCGAGAAATGCACGCCATCGTGTTTCATAATTCTTGTTGCCTTTATCTCTTTCATAATAGATCTCCGCCACGTTTCCATCTCCCTCTTGTGCGGTCTTGTGGGTTCCAGTCCAATGCTGTCCTCGCAAGTAGGCTATTTCATACCTATTTCAGCATTGAAGAAGCTGCTTTAAGTTTATTTGTGTTGTTATTATGTCTTCTTCAATGCCTCCTCTATTGGTTACTACTATTGGTCTCTTTTGAGTCTCATCTTAGGTTCTTTGACTTTTGAAAAAATTTTGAGAAATGCTTTCAGCAACATCGCCCTGCAAAACTTTCAGTACATAGTCACAGCTATGACGTTCTGTCTTCAGTTTGCAGCTATAATTTATAATAAACAGGTGTGATTTGTAATCTGCCAACTTAGTTTGCAGTATGAGGAAAATACACGATCCAAGAATGTAAAAATTATCAGATATTAATGTATTATTGTCCGAGATACATGGAAGAAGGTATCATATACTGGAAAGTGAGGTATATCTCATAGAAGAATATTTTTTAAGTTTATTGCTCTTTCCTTCCTCAAAAGTCTGCCCCCATGCAGATGCCGACCCTGAAGTAATGGACATAACCCGTCCATCAGGTAGGGTTCGCAGCACAGCTGGGAATATTTTCACACCCAACAGAGTAAGGTGGGCTATCTCGAATTTCAAGCCCCTAAAATCACCTGGAGGAGATGGAATTCTGCCTATCTTTCTGCAAAAAGGCTTAGAAGACCTTCTCCCAATAATAATATCCCTATATATAGCTAGCTACAGCTTTAGCTATATACCCACTCTATGGAGGAAAGTAAAGGTGGTCTTCATACCTAAAGGTGGTAGGCGTTCAAACGCGGACCCCAAGGCGTACAGACCAATTAGCCTAA